TTTTCGAGACAGGGTTTCTCTGTGGCTTTGGAGCCTGTCCTGGAACTAGCTCTTGTAGACCAGGCTGGTCTCGAACTCACAGAGATCTGCCTGCCTCTGCCTCCCGAGTGCTGGGATTAAAGGCATGTGCCACCATCGCCCGGCTCCTAGGACATTTTGATTGAAAGAGATTTCACAAAATAACACCTCCTGTTGCTCCTAAGTCCCTTTCGTTCTTCTTTCTCACTTCTCTTCTGTGTCCAGGCTTAGACCTGACAGTGCCTCTGTCTGCCTTCCCTCTGTAGGATATTGGCAGTGTGTGGTATGCACCCTGACCACCAGGAAACCCTGAAAAAGAACCGAGTGGTGCTGGCCAAGCAGCTGCTGCTGAGTGAGCTGTTAGAGCATCTCCTGGAGAAGGACATCATCACACTGGAAATGAGGGAGCTCATCCAGGTACCGCGGTGAAAGAGGCCCAGAAGATGAACCTGTGAAAGAATGTGCCCCTTGGCTAAGGACAGCAAACCTCACCTGTGCATGCTCACTCTGTAAAGAGGAATTCCTAAGATGAATAAGACCACTACTTCAAAGCTCATATGAAAAAATGGCGCTTACAATTAGATATGTAAATCTAATGTAACATTTTATTTTTGTGCCTTAGGCCAAAGGGGGCAGTTTCAGCCAGAATGTGGAACTCCTCAACCTGCTGCCCAAGAGGGGACCCCAGGCTTTTGATGCTTTCTGTGAGGCCCTGCGAGAGACCAGGCAAAGTCATTTGGAAGACTTGCTGCTCACAACCCTCTCTGATATTCAGCATGAACTCCCACCGGTATGAAACCCTGGAAATGCACCCTGGGCTGTGTTAGTTTGACCAGAAAGGATATGGGGCAGGGGGCACAGCGAGACAGACACTTGACTGTCTCTCTGAGGTCTTTGATGGTGAGTCTCGATTTCTTCCAGTTGAGCTGTGACTATGACACAAGTCTCCCTTTCTCGGTGTGTGAGACCTGCCCCCCTCACAAGCAGCTCCGCCTGTCCACAGGTGAGAATGAATGGGACAGAAGGACCCTCCCGCACTGACCTACGTGCTTTCTGAATGGTGGGGTCTATTTCCTGATAGGAACAGTTCTCTATGCTGACAGGGCAGTTTAGAAGGGATTTAAGTCGGACCCATTTCCCTTCATCACAGGTAGTAGTCTTCAAAACAATTGGCTTTTTGTGTAACTTATTCAGATGGGGACCATGATTTCCTGTGAATGATTTGAGTGTTTTGTCTTTAAAGCCAAACAAAAAAAGGCTCCATGTTTCTGCTGAGGTGATTAAAACCAGGCTTGTCTCAGAAGCCCTTTCCATCACTCAGCGAGTTGAGTGTCTTCTTTATGAAGCCATGGGTGGGGGCTCAGGGATGGGCAGAGGTCAACATGGTCTGTGCCAGCACGGGACTTACATGTTGGAGGAATAATTTCATTGAAACCTCAGTTTAAAGGGCTGCCTACAGCTAAATTGATTAATTAATGGAGTTATAAGGAGCAGTGCTGAAATGTATACGAGCTTTTGGCATTCTCCCTACCATAGGTCCCATGGAACACTCCTTAGATAATGGGGATGGTCCTCCCTGCCTTCAGGTGAAGCCATGCACTCCTGAGTTTTATCAGGCACACTACCAGCTGGTGAGTTTGCATAATTTCAAGGAGAGTGGTGGGGAGTGAGAGACCTGTTCTTCTGAGCCTGGTTTGCATGTTTTCTTGCTGCTCTGTCAGAAAGTGTCCTTGCTGACTGATACCTTCTGTGGCATTGCCTTTTTACCTGGTATGGTTAAAAAAAGAAAAGAGCAGAGGCTGGATTTGGGGAGTTGTCTGCTTTGAGGATAAGGATTGTTGTTTGGGGTGTGTTTTGAAAGGCTTGATGTCATTGAGTAACCACATTGCCTGTCATCAAGAGGCTCGTTGTCTAATTGGCCTCCTCCTTCTAGGCCTATAGGTTGCAGTCTCAGCCTCGTGGCCTGGCACTGGTGTTGAGTAATGTGCACTTCACTGGAGAGAAAGACCTGGAATTTCGCTCTGGAGGGGATGTGGACCACAGTACTCTAGTCACCCTCTTCAAGCTTTTGGGCTATAATGTCCATGTTCTACATGACCAGACTGCACAGGTACCTGCGGCTGGAAAGGCTGGCGTGTGAATCGGGTGGGCTGTACTTTGGGCTGGGTGCTTCTGTTCCTCTGGGCCTCCTGGATGTTTCTCACTCACTGTTTGCTGCTTCCTACAATCTAGGGAAAAGAAGGAGAGTTAGCCAGTTGCCTGGACATTGCTGTCTTAAGGTAGCTGTGCTTTCGTGGAGTTCCACAGTTCAGGGTCGGGTTCCCACATTTATGTGTTCAGAAACTTAACTCCTAGTCACTCAGGAAGTAATGAAACACCGAGATCCTCCCAAACAAACTCCAAAAGGGTATTTATAAATCAGGCCACACAGCCATTTACTTCACAGTTGATACCGTTACTTAAGATCCCAATTATTGTTTAAAGCATTACTTTTGGCAGATTCAGTTCTTTTCAAGTAGAAGAATATATGCAGATGCTGTTTAGTGGTCATCTGATTAAGTCAGTGCTGGATTGTTTTAGGGTAGGTTGCTTGCTCGCACGTCATAAGCATTTTGTTGTGGGCTGCTCCTTATTGACTTATTTCTGAGCTTCTCTGGTGACTTTTAAGATTTATATTTTGAAATTGATAATGACCTATTTGTATACTATTCTGAACTGCTTTTGTTCTGTAATAGTATGTTCTTAAACTTGATCTTTGGGCTTAGGGAGGTAGAATTTAAGGTTCTGAGCCATGATGAGGCAGGAGAATCAGAAGTTAGAGTTTAAGACCAGTCTTTCATAGTAAGTTGAAGGGTGGCCAGGACTACGTGAGACCCTGTCTAAAAAAAATTCCCTTTGGCCCCTTGAGGTAGAGGATCCTGGTTTTGTGTTGACAGTTTGTTGTGGTCATCTTGGCTATCCCACTTCTATGAGAATTATGTATTTACTATACTTTGGGTGTGGCCAGTTTCATCTCTAGGTGTCTCAATGCCATTCTTGACGTGATTCTCTTGCCAGCTTGCCCATAATTGCCCGTTTAAAATAGATCCATTCTTGCTTCAAAGCCAAGGCTGGAAGTTGAGATCGTGGCTCAGTGGTTGGAGCAATTGCCTAGCAGGTGCAAAGCCCTGAATTTAGTCCCCTACACCAGGAAAAACAAAAGTCAGAGATGGAACATTTTTTTTTCCCCTCCATCAAAGGGACTGAATGAAGTAGGTAGCTTGTCCACCTCTGCTACTTTTGAGGGAGTTGTAAGGTCATCTAGCCAGATTTGTGCTGTATTTGTTTTCTAAGAGTATTTTGTGTCTGTTTCATATAAACTTCTAGGAAACTGTTTTGTCATGGTCTTCTAAATAGTGTGTTGGGCAGTAGATCTTTGATACCTAATAAAGGTTTCAATACTGTGTCACGAATACAGTTGAATACTGCTGTCTTTTCGAGACATTCAGGAGACTTTGTGAGTCCATAAAGTACTTTTTATAGGCCAGTTCCATTTAAGCTGTATCTAAGGCAGATTCAAGGGCTTCTAAAGTCTCATTCCCATGTTTTTCTGTCACTTGAGTTGCAGTGAAGCTAAATTTTGAGCACCTTGTAATTTGACACGCACAAATTTAATGTTCTGAAATCGAGGATAGATAATGAGTGTGCTCTCAGCATCATTTTGTTCCTCTATCACTAATAGAGCTGGAGCTTCTGTTCTTACAGGAGGTGAAAGTAAAAACCACAGGAGTAGATGAGGTCAGAAAAGTAGTCAGAGCAGGTAAAACTGACAGGCTCCTAAGGGAGACAGCCTAGGTAGAAGGAGCAGTGTGTAGATGATATGGACGTGATAATCCAGGGAATGCCGTGAATATCGTACTTTGTTGCATTGGGAATGTGCAGAATGCCCTCTTCTTTTTTTTTTTTTTGGTTTTTTGAGACAGGGTTTCTCTGTGGCTTTAGAGCCTGTCCTGGAACTAGCTCTGTAGACCAGGCTGGTCTCAAACTCACAGAGATCCACCTGCCTCTGCCTCCCAAGTGCTGGGATTAAAGGCGTGCGCCACCATCGCC